GCAGGCTCAGCACCCCTAGCAGCTTATATAGCTACCTCGATAGGCTCGACTGCGTCTACCTGGGACACACCTGACGGGGTAGGACCCTGAGGGGGGAGAGGGTCTACTGGGGGAGGACCTAGCACAAGGAAGAGCGGCGGCGGGGGGAGGGGCGCAATGCGGTAGGGGAAGAGACGGTAGTAAGGCACCGACTCGTCAAAGGTGACGTCCTGGGAAGACAAAACACGTCGCGAGGTGGGGTGGTAAAACTGCCACCCAGGCGCGTCAGGGGGGAAGCCAAGGAAGACGCAGGGAACAGCACGGGGGGACAGCTTGTCTGCAGACAAGTCGCGGACAAACGCCCGAGATCCCCAGACCCGAAACGCAGACGCATCGCCAACCTTCCCGTTCCACCGCAAGGTGGGGGAGGTCTGTGGCAAGGAGACCCGGGGCTGAAGGTTGAGTTGATGCGCTGCGTACTGAACCGCAAACAGCCACAGAAAATGGGGAGCAGGCGCATGGATCATGGACGTACGAGCGACGTTTATGACCATGCCAATGCGGCGTTCAGCAATCCCATTTTGTTGTGGAGAGGCCGGAAGCGTGAAGGTCCGGCGGATGCCCTGTGCACGACAGAAGGCTCCCAGAAGGGCAGAGGAAAACTCCCCGACTCTACCAGAGTGCAGACGCAGAACAGGAAAGTCCAAGCCGAAACTCTCTCTGAGTTGGAGACGAGCTGCGCGGATCCAGTCGATCAACACCTCAGTGACGTCACCCTTGCTGCGCAAGGGGAACACCGTGGTGTAACGTGAGTAGTCGTCAACCACCAACAGGAAGTAACGCTCGTGACCCTGGCCACGGACGCGGGCGGGGCCCCACACGTCCATGTGAAGAGTCTGCAGGGGAGCCTCTGTCGGAGGAAACACGGAGGAGTGAGGGGCGGCGCGCTGCCGCCCCTTGACACAGGGAACGCAGGTAGGGGCAGGCCCCAGCGGGAGGGGAGGGAGGGACCGGGGGAGACCAGAGACAAGGACACGGGAGGCCATGCCTTGGAGACGAGGCAGGGAGGGGTGACCAAGGCGGTGGTGATAAAGGAGAGTCTGGTGGGACAGGAGACGACACGAGCAGGGAGCAAACTCATGACCAGACCTGGACGCTGTAGCAAACACCTGACTCGACGCAGCTACCTGACTAGACTCAGCAACCGGAGGAGACTCAGTAGTCAGTGTGTACAGGCTCAACCCCGGCCGACGGGTAAACGTGGCCAACTGTCGGCCCATCCGAGCACACATACAGTGGGTCACCCGCTGACTCGAAGAAGTGAACTGGTCAACCCCCCCATCCTGTGGATCAGCACCACTCACCAAGTTCGTAGAGAACGAGGAGAGGTAGAGACCTGACAGGGTGCCAGAGGGGGCTGCCAGACACGGTAAGACAGTGGAGAAGCGAGCAAGGACAGGACCCCCAGAGGGGTCCGCCAGGAAGACCGCAACCGGCCGACTAAGCGGCGTAAGCGTGGTGCGGTCTCGAAAGAAGGAGCGGGAAGCACCCGAGTCAAGGGTAAAGGTGTGTAAGGCCTGAGCCGACGTGGTACCAGAGAGAGCAGACTCACCAGCACCTGGGGCAGCAGACGCACTAGCATCTAGAGCAGCAGCCTCACCAGCACCTAGAGCAGCAGCCTTAATGCCTGGTCAGGCGGAAAACACAGGTAACAGTCACCCTCATCACTAGCAGACACAGCATACATGGCAGCAAGAATATCATCATAGTCAAGATCAAAGATAGCAGCCCCCGCCCTAGACACCTCTCCCCAGCGAGGGATCTCAGTGGCGTCAGGGAACTGGTGACGCCAAGTGCCGTTAGGCGGCCAAAGCAGCGCTGGGTGGAGTGCGAGCCTCCGCACTGCTCACCAGCGCGGTCGCCGGTACGGAGGACGTAGGTACAGGGACCAGTACCCCCACCTCGCTGACGCCCAGCGTACCTCTCACGAAGCTGCTGGGGGGACGGGGTCTCACGAGTGCGCTGCTGCTGCTGGCGCTGACCACCACCTAAGCCGCCCCGCTACACAGAGCCACCCCGACCAGCTCCACCTCCTCCGCCGCCACCTCCGCCACCGCCGCCACCGCCTCCTCCTCCGCTCCCACCGCCACCGCCGCCGCCGCCTCCACCGCCACCGCCGCCACCGAAGCCCCCACCCCCGCCACCACTCCCACCACCACCTCCACTCCCTCCGCCTCCTCCACCTCCACCTCCACCACCCCCGTCAGCCCCTCCAGCGCCCTTGCCCCCCTTGCCCTTGCCGGTGCGGCGTCGCCTGCTAGGGGCAGACGCAGCGCCGACCAACTCGGTGCCAACGAAGTCGACGGTAGCAGCAGAGGCAACAGAGGGCAAAAGGGGGGAGGGGGAGCACCCCTCAAAGACAGGGGCACGCGGGTCACCTCTAGAGGCTCCTACAGCGACTATACTCTTCTCAGCTGCCAGGAGGCGCTCCTCGAGGAGGTCAACGGTGAGAGTGGTGGGGCAAACTGAGAGGAAGTGGTCCCTAACCGAGCGAAGGGAGTTAGGGAGCCGGGTGACTATGTAGTAGAGGGTGATGTACGTGGGGGGGGGTTCTTGGCACAGAAATCAGCAGGAAGCGCAGCGCGGTAGCGGGTGTCACTAGTGCGAAGGTGCGTAACGAGGTCAGCGACAGTGGGAAAGGTGGCGAGGTCAGGAAATAGGTACGGTGGTATGAGGCGGCTAAGAGCAGCAGTGGCAGGGGAAGAGTAGCGTGCAACTACAGAGTCGTACAAGGTCTTAGCATTCTTGCACTGACTAAAGTGCGCACACTCAGCGGTCGGTAAGTGGCGACGCACAGCAAGAGGGGCAGCAGCATTGCGCATGGCCCACTGTGAGCGAATAGTGCTGTCGGCATCAGCAGGCGGGGCAGGAGAGGCACCAGAGGTGAGATCGAACAGGGAGAGTCTGTCTGCCCTATCGCACTGTAGGAAAAGCTGCAGGTCATCGACCCAGACCTCGAAGTCAACAGCACGACCCTCAGCATCAAAGGTAAGGACACTGGGGGTAGCCATGACGACAGTGGTCTAGCAGGGAGTGCTCTCACCAGTCCGGGTGGGTAGGGCCGGGGCGCGCCGGTAGAAACAGGGCTGCAACAGTGGTGGCAGCGGCTCGACAGAGGCAATGGCGGCTCGACGGCGGCCTCGGCGGCTCAGCTGCTCGGCGGCTCGGCTGCAGGCGACTCAGCGGCTCGGCGGCTCGGCTGCTTGGCGGCTCGGCGGCTCAGCTGCTCGGCGGCTTGTCGGTGAAGGGGCCGGGACGGCGATGGGGTCGCAAGAGGGCGGCGAAGGGGCCGCAAGAGGGCGGCGACGGGGCCGCGAAAGGGCGGCGATGAGGCTGTAAGAGGGTGGCGACGGGGCCGCGAGAGGGCAGCGACGAGGCCGCAAGAGGGCGGCGGCGGGGCCGCGAGAGGGCGGCGACGAGGCCGCGAGGAGCGGCCGCAGGGCCGCGACGGGCGGCGACGCGGCCGCTAAGGGCGGCGGCGGGGCCGCGAACGGCGGCGACGGGGCCGCGAGAGGGAGGCGAAAGGGCCGCGATAGGGCGGCGTCGGGGCCGTGGAGGTGGGGCCGCAAGGGGCCGCTGAGGGCGGCGCGACGGGCAGTTCAGGGCGGCGCGACGGGCCGCTAGGGGGGCGGCGACGGGGTCGCGAGGGGCCGTGAGAGAGGGGGCCGCTAAGGGCGGCGCGACGGGTCGCTAAGGGGAGGGCGGCACACAGGGCGCGCCTCGATCAGGGGCGACTCGATCTCAGGGCAGGAAAAAAAAATCGATTTTCAGTGGTGGGCCCTAGGAAGTTCCCACTAGGGAACCTGCTCTATACCATGTGAGAATTGAGGAATGAATTGAGCTAGCAAGCAGGTAGGTACAAGTAGGAAAACCTAAAAGTGTTGTACCCCATATTGTCTACCCCACTACAGCCTACACAGACTATAGCATATGAGTTTGACACAACCCGTGTGCCTGCTCCTGTGTGCAGGCCCTCCGCCCAGGACACGAATTGCTCCGGAACCCCCATCCTTCGTAGTGTTCAGAAGAGGAAAGGCCTCGCGATGGAGTCAAAAGCCTTCTCAAAGTCAACCATCAGGAGGTACCAGTCCTTGCCGCCATTGGCACCCGCCTCGATAGCGTCCGCTACCACCGCAACGGCATCTGCCAGCCTCCGTCCAGGTAAAAAACCCACTTGATCTTCCGAGACCACCTCCTGTAGAACTTTCTTTAACCTTGACGCCATTACTTTCGCTAACACCTTGTAAACCATTCTTAGCAGCGTAATAGGCCTGTAATTCCCTAACTCCTTGCTCCCCTTTTTGTGCAAGGGGAGCATATTCATATTACTGATAATATTCATATTAGACAACACAATTTCTGTTACACTTCCAACCTGCTGGTTACCAGCTCGCTACTCCCCTCCCCTCGCCTCTTCGTCACATTTGTTCGTTGTGCTGTCTTTCTCGCTGCTCTCGTTGCTATCAGCTCTGTTCCGCCAGCCACAACACTAGTCAGGTAAATCACTCCAGCAGACCTCCGCACCGCACTTTCACGTCAACGGAACTCAGGACGAGTCCGTTGAGGTTACTGGGGAGTCCAATCCCTTTCCTCATTGGCCGAGGATCTCAGCTTCCTACATTCCTCTCCTTAGCCGCGGGAGTGGGTTCACTTTCACTTCGAAGCCGTTTCTCTTGGTTCACTCACCCCGTACGTTCAACGTTTCTCTTGAAGTTCAAGGAAGCTCAAATCGGTCATTTCAAGCCTAAGGCGTTGGGCGTAAGCGTAAGGGGTTCTGCCCTTAATCCGAAATTCGACGTTAGGTCGCTTCCTCGTCTTCACTCGCCGCTTCCGGTCCTAATTAGCCCCGTCGCGCATCTGCAACTTAAACACTCCACCATCTATAGCTCTCACCTTTTGCGATTTTGGCCAAAGATTCTCGTCCGTTCTCACGAAACAACGGCCGGTTGACACCCATCGAGATGTCCGCGCGGAAGGTACGCTAACCTCTTGCACAATGCCTTCTGCTCTCTCCCTCTCCTTCTCCCTTTCGGCCGCTCCCTCCCTCTCTCCATATGCCGTCCCTTCGTCCGTCCTCCACGCACATGCTCCGAATGCCATCCCTTGGGATAGGCTTCCACCTCTCTCCCTCACTCTCTGATGGAGAGAGGGGGGCGCTAGAAGGGACCTCTGAAAGACCTGCCTCTCTCTCCCTCACTCTCTGATGGTGAGGGAGAGGGGCGCCACACAGAACCTCTCTGAGACCAGACCCTTTCTCCCTCACTCACTTACATGCGCACACTCCCACACTTTTGGACTCTTGAGGGACCTGCCTCACTCTCTCCCGCTCTCTGATGGAAAAATTGGGGCGCAAGAAGGGGCCTTAGGAGGGTGTGGAGGCAGAGAAGGAGAAGGTGGTTTTGGACCCCTGAGGGACCCGCCTCTCTCTCCCTCACTTTCTGATGAAGAGAGAGGGGCGCCGGACAGAACCTCTCTGAGACCGACCCTTTTCTCCCTCACTCGCTCATGGGCGCACACTCACACACAAGTACACAAGGTGGAGAAGGACAAGGATGTTCCAAACATAAGAGAAAGAAGTTGGTGCTGTGCTCGGGCTGCCAGGGCAGTAGAAAGAAATACTAAAAGGGACCCCTGAGAAAATCTTTCTTTCCTTCCCCCACTCACGTGCCTGCATGTGCGCTTTCACACACGCAGACACAGAAGGACAAGGAGGCTGCGAAGCCAAAGAAGGAGAAGGTGGTGTTTGTCCTGCCGGGACAGCTGAGAGAATCACCAGAGGCAGAACGAGGACCTGTCCTTTTCTCCCTCACTCAGTCACTCTCCTGCATGTGCTCCCTCACACCCGCAGACACAGAAGGACAAGGAGGCTGCGAAGCCAAAGAAGGAGAAGGTGGTGTTTGACCTGCTGGGACAGCTGAGAGAATCACCAGAGGCAGAACGAGGACCTGTCCTTTTCTCCCTCACTCAGTCACTCTCCTGCGTGTGCTCCCTCACACTCACAGACACAGAAAGACAAGGAGGCTGCAAAGCCAAAGAAAGGGAAGGTGGTGTTTGACCTGCGTTGGCAACTGAGAGAGTCACCAGAGACAGAACCAGGTTTTGTCGTTCTCTCCCTCGCTCGCTTTCCTACATGTGCTCCCTCACACGCGCAGACACAGAAGGACAAGGAGGCTGCGGATCCAGAGAAGGAGAAAGTGTTGTATGACCTTCTGGAACGAGCGAGAGAGGAACCATGAGAAAACTTATCTTCCCCTCCCTCACTCACTCACTCACTTTCCTGCACATGCACTCCCACACGCGCAGACACAGAAGGACAAGGAGGCTGTGAAGACAAAGAAGGAGAAGGTGGTGTTTGACCTGCCGGGGCAGCTGAGGGAGGTGCCAGAGAGAGAAGGCACCCCTGAAAACACCTTTCGTACATGTGCTCCCTCACATGCTCACAGACACAGAAGGACAAGGAGGCTGTGAAGCCAAAGAAGGAGAAGGTGGTGTTTGACCTGCCGGGGCAGCTGAGGGAGGCGCCAGAGGAGGTGAGGAAAGGAAAGTTTTAAGGAAGTGAGGTTTGGGAGCCAAGGAGGACAGGGGGGAGAGCATGAGTAGGTCAGGCGGAAAAATTGGAGAAGGTAAGTGCGCAGGCAGGCGCCCTTATACAAAGTGATTTATCTTCTGTCAGTGAAGAGTCCCCCTGGCCTCTCCCCTCATCCTTGCATCATCTGTCCCCTTTCCTTTCCCCTTGTGCCCTTCCCAAACCGTCATTCTCTGCCTCTTCTATTCCCTCCATCCTCCCTGCCTTTCTCTTGCCCTTCTTTCTTGGACGGCAGAATGAGCCTCTTCGCATCTTCTATGAGAGCCTATACAACCAGCTGCCAGACAGCGAGTTTTGAGACGTCTCAGAACTTCCCAAACCCCATCATTCTCTGCCTCGTCTACTCCCTCTGTCCTCCCTGCCCTTCTCTTGCCTTTCTTTCCCGGACCACAGAATGAGCCACTTCGCATCTTCTATGAGAGCCTATACAACCAGCTGCCAGAAAGCGAGATGGCACAAATATGGTACTTTTTTCATTCCAATTCACTGCCAATGCTTATTTGATGCTTTTCTTTCCCGTGGATTAGTTTCTCAGATAATGTGCCTTCTTTTTTTTATTGTCTGTTCACAATTCTAGGATGTTATGGTTGCATTGTCAAGCTCCACCTATTCTCCTTCAGAGTGGAGTAACTCTATTGAAGTAGCCAAACAACATGCTTTCTATTTCTTTGCTTGAGCTGTTCGTGCTGAAGCCGCCAACCCTCACTACAATGGTTTTTTGCTGTGAGAAATAGCTCTCCTTCCAGCTGAGATGCATGCAAAAAAAAAAAAAAAAAACTTCTCAGTGACCCCCTTCAGTTCCGATCTCTTTGTCGCGTTACTGTGTAACTCCTGTCAGTTGTGAACTTCTCACAGATTTATGGAGCACGGGTTGCTGACATCAGCAGGGAAACAGCAACAGCAAACCCTGCCACTGTGTGGCTCGTTGGATGGACCCCATCATTCACTGCCTTTCTCGTGTGAACCCCTTGCAGGATGATGGAGCATGGTTTGTTGGATGAGGATGAAGCGAGGCGAGTGCTGGCTATCAAGCAGAGGAGAGGAAGCGGCCGATCAGCACCTGCAGCTGGCCCTGCCTCTGCCAGAGCAGCCACTGCTGTCCGGGCCTCTTCGGCTGCTGCTTCGGCAGCTGCCTCTCGAGCCTCGGCCACTGCCGTCGGCAGCCGATCCGGTTCGGCAGCAGGAGGCAAGGCTTCAGGTTCGGCGGCGAAAGTAGAACCAAGTGGGGGAGGGAAGAGTGTTGGGCCAAGCAGCAATGGGACTGCGAGAGCGGGAGTCAAGACCCCGACGTCTGGAGGGCGCAAGGCAGCAGTGAAGTCATACAAAGATGAAAGTGAATCGGAAGAGGAAATAATTCCTTTGAAAAAATTGCGGCGATGACCTTGAAGCAGTAAGTGGTGCATCAAAGATTTGATTGAACCGGTTGGGCCACAACAAGTGCCTTGTTGGAGCATGTTGTATTTCTTCTACAGTAACCATGTTTGGGGTTTGAAGTTACTTATCTAATGTCAGATATTGGTAAGAAATTCTTGAAGCAAAAGAAATAACTAGCAAACACTCCGAAGAAGACCCTCTAGAAGCAGCAGATGAAGGTCCAAATTTGAGAAGGGAAGGGAAGGTTTGTGCCAATCTTCTTACAGAACTTGTATCTGGAGAGGAGCGTTCATGTAGCTTAAAAAATGATTGTAAACTGTTAAGGTGTAGTTTGTTTTTCTTGTACCTGAATGATTCGCCCAATAAACATGTGATGTTTGAATCATCGCGCGGCAATCTCAAGAGCGCCAACCGAAGCTCCCCAGCCTTCCCAACAGAAGCCTGGAAAAACAGCAGTCACGACTCACGAACACCTGTCATTGCCAATTTTGGGATACACCATCTCACAACATGACGATGCATTTCAGCCTGCTCGTTCTGACGTTCTGTCTCTTCGTTGCACATCATGGACGCTGTTATGCGTTCCTTCCAGGTTTACACCCGCACACTTTCAGGTGTGTTTGAGTCATTGACATCGCGATGCATTTGATGACGAGGAAACCAGTTTTTGAACTGACTAATTTCGACCTTTGCCAGAGAAAACGACACGCTGCCAATCGGCATTGCTCCATTGTCTGATTCGGTGTCGGGAGCACCAGACTTCTACGACTTGCCGTTTTGTCAGGACACAACTCTCTGGAGAGATCAGCCTCAGTACCTGACAGACGTCTTACTAAACACACAGCTGCTTCCCACTCCATATGATATTAAAGTCCTCACCAACGTGACTTGCCGGTTCTTGTGTCTTGTTCCGAATTTTGCCAATCAAGGTAAATCGTCGAGACTCTTCACAAAGCTGGTTACTTCGAAGAAGCGGCCGCTCGCTAAACTGCGCGCCGACAGCCTTACCGTATTGCACACGGAAAGCCACGGAGATAAAGCAGATGGCTATGCTCTTGGGAGTCACGACGCGGATGATTTCTACGTGACAAACCATGTGCGTTCACGGCCATGCAATTCGAGCTTCTAATCCAGCCGCAACATGCAGTTTTTGCTAATTCTTCAATCCGTGCAGGTCACGTTTCTGATTCATTATAACGACTGGATCGATGGCGCCGGAGAGCGCGAGGTACGGATATCATCTGTTCAAATGCAGCCACGCTCTTCAGGCATTGCACCAAAGAGAATTGGCGAATGCGAATCCGAGCCTCATCCTCAGAAGGCCTCGGGTACTTTTCTCATAAGCGCAGTCCTTCCAACCCCGTAACTCCATTCTGATAACATAAATTGACGTTCAGGTGACGTCATGTTCACCTACTCGGTTTACTGGATAAGGTCAACAAACCCGTGGCCCTCCAGATGGGACCACTTACGAGTTGGGTTGGGGATCAGCTTTTGGGAAGCAGTCGTCTGGATAGTCGTTGCGTGTGCACCAGCGGTATTTTTTTACGTTTTGTGCAAGTTCCTACTCCGCCAGATTGAGTCCAGCCACCGAACCAAGGCTTTTCTATGGGAGCCATTGAAAGAGCACACGAATCAAGTGGAGCATGAAAGAATTGACCTGCTTTCCTCGCTGGTAAGTAGCTGGTTTCCCAATCACCAGAAATTATCTGCTTGGTCCATTTCTTTCTCAATTCTATTGTTTCACAGGTTGGATCCGGCATCCAATTACTTGCTGCTGCATTTGTGACAACTTTAGCAGCTGTGCATGGTCTGAGAGATCCAGCTGCTCGGGTAGCAATGATGCAGCTGTCCTTCTACTCGTTTGTTGGACTGGGTGCACTTAACGGCTACATATCGACAAAGATCTTGAGCTCCTTCAGGTCTTCAAACATCATGGGGCCTGTGCTGCTATCGTCATTACTCCCTTCGACTCTTGTGCAAGGGCTTCTGCTTCTGCTGAACTGGATACTTCACGTTGGAGGATACCCACATGCTATTCCTCTGGCAACCTCACTGTCAATCTATCTCTGGGCGCTTTCGATTTGCTCCATGACTGTCTACATGGGCTCTTTGTTTGGAAGCTTTACATCTCGAACAGACACCCAGCCGCTTTTCTTCTCTAGTGGCATGCATCATGAGCGGGATTCGTGGGAGTTGCCCAAGATTGGATTTAGGTTTGGAGGAGGTCTCTTGGTGTCCGGTGCTGTGGGAGCTACTTTGTTTTACCACTCAACACGACTTTCTCACCAGTAAGTACACTCTAGTTGATTCAAGTGTTTCCTGCAAGTCTGGGATCCGGGCTGGTAAGATGAACTTCTCTACATTTGTAATTTGCAGGTTATCATATCCTTCCTTGCTGCTTGCGTTTGGTGGCTTCATCGTCATCTCTGGGTGTATATCTATCCGTTCAACCTACTTCCACCATTTATGTGGGAATACGAAGTGGTGAGCACTGTTGGTTCTTTCGTCGGGCATAATTCCTTGCCCGCAGTTATGAATTGTGATCAAATGTTTTTTGTGCAGGTGGTGGGAAAGCTTCTTTGTCCCATCATTCTCATCACTTTTCTTTGTTGGTGCTGGTTGTGCACTTGCCACACATTTTTTCTGGAGTGGGCAAGGGCATGCGGCATTGATTCTGGCAGCTTACTCACTACTGGGTGCAAGTGTAAGTGGACAATACCGCGACCTATATCATGTTCGTATGCAGCATTGCATTATGTGATCCAACTTATGACTTTGCAGGTCGTAGCTCTCGCTGCTGGGGCTATTGGATTTCTTGCAAGTTGGCTTTTGGCATCCATGGTGTCTGGCCACCGTGTGAAGATGGATGGCAGATCCAGCCTCTAGGAGATGACATGCTTTTGCACCATGTGTGGTGCCTACATGTGATATTGTTCTGCCATATGATGTGACCTAAATAGAGTAATTATATTTGACTTTGGCTCCAACTTCATTAAAACTCTGCACTGGGAGCACGGAATATACTTAGAAGCTGGGGGCCTGTTACGAGTGCAATTGAGTAAATGAACGGGAATTGCACTATCGAAGCAAGAATACAATGAGCGATGGCATGAGCGAAGAATATATAGCGAAACTACAGTGGTAACGGTAATGGACTGTGGTTGTCGCGTGACGGGCCTGGGACTGAGGTTTGGGAAAGTGTCAAAGCGGAGGCCCGGAGCGCGGGTTACCAGCCGAGCCGTGAGGTTGGGGTGCGATGTGCCAAAATGGCGGGCTGATTGTCGATGCGAGGGTCCCGAGTGGTAACGGTGCTGACTGTGGTGCTATAGTGATGTACGCGTTGAGCAGGGATGCGAAGTAAGGAAAAATGATTTTCCTTACACTACCCCCCCCTCCTAAGGAGGTCCTCCTTACGAAAGTGCGTGGACGTCCCTGAAGTTTCGGCTGCGCAGATATTCAGTGAGAACAGGGTGATTTTCGATTCTGTCCAGGGGAACCCAATTGTCTTCAGTGGGGGTACGGTTTTTCCAGGGGATCAGGAACTCGATCTTTCGGGCTCCTCGAGGGCCACGAACTCTGTGGCTCAGGATTTTGTCGGGGCCGATGATTGGTTCGGTTGGCGGTCGTGCCATGCTGGCTGGGCGATTGCGTGGGAGTTGGCTTGTGGATGGGACGTAGGGGCGAAGCAGGCTGACGTGGAACGAGGGGCTGACGTACCAGTCAGCAGGGAGGAGGAGGTGGGCGGTGACGGGTGTTATCATGTGACTGATACGAAATGGCCCACATTATCGGGGGCGGAGTTTGGGTGTGATGGGCAGTCGGAGGTTCTGGGTGTCGAGTAAAACTAGGTCGTCGGGCTGGTAAGTGGCAGGTCTACGGTGGCGGTCGGCGTTGCGTTTAGCGATGATGTTCGATTTTTTGATTGCGTCTGCCGCCCTGGTCCATGCCGCTTGCAGAATTTCAGCGAACTGTTGCGCGCGTGGAACCGGGTTGTCGGGATTCGGGGTCATGGGTACTGTTGGGTCTTGTCCGTAATTCAGGTTAAACGGTGACTGTTGGGTCGTGGCGGATGGGGCGTTGTTGTATGCGAATTCGATGAGTGGCAGTTGTTGCTCCCACGTGTTTGGATCGTCGCACGTGGCCCTAATGAGTTGCTCCATGGTTTGATTTGTCCGTTCTGTCTGTCCGTCTGTTTCGGGGTGATACGATGAACTAAACTATAGTCACGTGCCGAAATGCTGCCACAGGTTCCGCCAGAAGTTGCTGGTAAACTTCGTGTCTCTGTCGCTGATGATTGATGCTGGTATCCCGTGCAGTCGAACGACGGTAGAGATGAAGAGGCGGGCTGTTTCTTCGGCTGTGATTGATTTCTTGCAGGCTGCGAAGTGTGCCATTTTCGTCAGTCGATCAACGACGACCAGGATCGCGTCATTCCCACTCGCTCCGGCCGGTAACCCCGTGACGAAGTCCATCGTCACCTGCTGCCAAACACGCTCTGGGGGTGGGATTGGTTGCAACTGTCCCGCCGGCCGCTTCCGGGTTGACTTCATGATCTGGCAAGTGGGACACGATGCCACGTGTCGCTGTACGTCGGTCAACATTTCGGGCCAATAATAATACCGCTGCAGCTGCTGCCGTGTTTTCTCTACTCCGAAATGTCCCGAGGTAACTCAGTCATGTGCCTCCTGTAACAGTAATTCCCGTAGCAGTGTGTACCCTAGTACCCAGATGCGTTCGGTCCCAACTTTTACATAATAGACTCCCTTGGCTGCTGCGAATTGCTGCGAGTTTCCTCCTGTGAAGAATGGGTCCGTTTGGTATCCGTGGGTAAATAGTCCTGTCAGTAGCGGGCTGGTCTGGGCGAGTAGTACCGCATGGATCTGGGCAGTGGGGCGGGTCAGTGCGTCGGCGATATTCGAGGCTCCTTTTTTATAGGTGACTGTGTAGTGGAAATTTGACTCGAGGAAATCGAGCCACCGAATCTGTCGTGGGTTGAGGTGGGGCTGTGCGCGGAGGTATTGTAGGGATCGGTGGTCTGTCCGTACTGTTACGTCTGCGCCGATCAAGTAGCAGCGCCACATTTTGAACGCATGCACAATCGCGAGCATTTCGCGGTCGTGTATCGGGTAATTTCGTTCGGGCGGATGCAATTTTCGTGATTCGTATGCGATGGGCTGTAGGCCGTTGCCGAAGTCCTGCAACAGTACGGCTCCAATGGCGATGTCGCTTGCGTCTGTAACAACTTCGAAGGGGCGATGTGGGTCAGCGATGCGCAGGACGGGTGGTGAACAGAGAACATTTTTCAGGGCAAAGAATACAGCATGCTCTTTCTCCCCCCACGTAAAAACGACCCCCTTGCGTAGTAAGTCTGTCAGCGGGGCAGTTAATCGTGCCATGTCGGGGACAAACCGACGAACATAATTAACGAACCCTAAAAAACTCTGCAGTTCCGTGATGTTCGTCGGGGGACGCCACGCTTTGACCGTATCCAGCTTCTTGGGGTCGATTTCAACTCCAGCCTCCGAAATAACGTGCCCTAAAAATTCTAGCCTGTCCCGAAAAAACTCGCACTTAGACCCTTTGGTGAGTAGCCGATGTTCCTCTAAATTTTTTAACACTGCTTCGAGATCTACTAAGTGCTGCTGCTTGTCGCGACTGTAAACGAGGATGTCGTCGAGGTAGACGATCACGCATTTATCTAAGAGTGGCCTAAAAGCCTCGTTCATGGTCATCTGAAATGTTGCGGGCGCGTTGGTCAGCCCAAAAGGCATTACCGTGTACTCGAACGACCCGTACCTAGTCCTAAATGTTGTCTTGGCGCAGTCCGACGGTTCGACCCTAATCTAATGGTACCCCCCCCGTAAGTCTATTTTCGAAAATACCCGTGCTGTTCGCAGTTGGTCGATCAGTTCGTCGGCGCGGGGAATGGGGTACCGCGATTTGACTGTTACCCTGTTAAGCGCTCGGTAATCGATGCACATGCGAAACCCTCCGTCTTTTTTGGTGTGAACAGGATCGGTGCGGCGAACAGTGACGAGCTCGGTCGGATAAACTGCTTCTCTAACAAATAATCTAACTGCTTCCTCAGTTCGTCGAGCTCGGGCTGTGTCAGCCTGAACTGGCGCTGTACAGTTGGCGGTGCCCCCGGTTCTAACTCGATCCTATGGTCATGCGCCCGCTGAGGTGGCAGCCCTTGCGGTAAGTCGTCTGGAAAAATCCGTGGGTACCGTTTCAACAGTTCCTGAAGTTCGGGCGGTACTGCTGCCAACAGTTTCTGAAAATCGCTCGGGTGCTCCTCTTCTTCCACTAATGCTATATCCACTGCGTACACGTCAGCTCCAGCGGCGACAACCCTTTTCATCGTGATGGCGTTGACGTGGACCGTTGAAGACTCGGGTGATCGCCAGCGAGGTAGTTCGACCCAGTTACCACTACTTCGCACGGTGCAGCTACCCGTCGTCCAGTCCATTCGCGGGTTATACCGCCGCAGCCAATCACACCCCAATAAAAGATCGTGCCCATCCAGTGTCGTTGCGAGCATTTCCTGTGTAAACCCGAAGTTCCCTCCGCAGCGAACTTTTACTCGCTCCACCTTTTCCCGTATGGCCAGTGGCGTGCCGTCGACTAAGCGTGCGTCTATCTCAGGTAGGCAACGGTTAAGTGTTAACTGTAGTTTTCGTGCGGTTGCGGTATTAACTAAACTGTGACTCGCTCCTCCATCAATAAAAATCTTCACTGCTGCTCCCTGTATTTTGCCGTGGATCAGTACTGAGCAATCCGTCGCTGTACCCTCCTTATTCATCCGAGCCCGATCGATGGCGTGAATCGGTACTGTGACTCGGTGAGGGTCGGTGCGGTTGGGCGAGCAGGCAGTCTCGTCAGTAGTTGGCCCAACTTCTACTGACTGCTGGCGTTTCCCTGCCTCTGAGACTCCCTCCCCTGCTCTGCTCCCCGGCGCCTCAGCTCCTCTGGGCATTCGCTCTTGCGATGGCCCGGCCTGTTGCAAGCAAAGCAGCGCCCCTTAAACGGTGCGGCAGCTGCATTCGTTGCAACGGCGTGTACAGCGGCTGAAAAAGTTAGAAGAGAGAAGAGGGTTGAACTAGCAAGAATGGGGATACAAATAGCAAACCCTAGAAGGGTTGTACTCGCTATGGAGCACCCCTCTACAGGCTAGAGCATAATATTCTGACAGTGGCGTGCTCGGTCGGTCCCCGAGGGCGATGTCCGTAGTAGGACCAAGGTCTCGGTCGGCGTAGAATGTCAATTTTCTCGGCGAGCGCGAGAATCTCGTTGACGTTGGAGAGTCCGCGCAGCATGATTTCGTGCGAGATATCCGGCTTCAGCCCTCCGACGTAACGGTCCACCCGCTCCGCTTCGTGCATGTAGCCGACCTGCTCGCAAAGTGCGAGAAAACCGCTCGTACAATCTTGAACCGACCCGAGCTGCCGCCAAGTGCGCAGTCTCTGACGCGCCGAAATGGAAGCCGCAATCGGCTCGAAGCGCGCCCGAAGCCCTGCGCACCACGCATCCCACGTGCTGTATTGGGCGGTCTCGCAGAACGAACTCCAGGTGACAGCTGGACCCGTGGGCCGCGGTGGCTCGTAGGCGCGTGGTGACGTCACGATGACTCGCCACCAGTCCATGGCGGGGCCCCTTACCAACGAAACTGCATACCGAATCTTCGCGGCGTCCGACTCGACGTAGTTCGCGTCGAAGAAGACGTTCATCGTGAAGACCCACGATAGAACCGTCGGACCTCCACGTTGGCTTGGGTCGAAGCAGGGCGGGCGTTGTGGCTTGAGCGGCATTGGTGCCATAATGGCCTGTTCGCCACTTGTCGCCGCGAATTCCACATGTCGACGGGCTTCACGGGGCTCCCGCGGGCTTTGTACGACCCTGCTTCCTCCCATGCCAGGCATCGGCTGGGCGGCGCCATCACTGGCTGCGCCTGAGCGTTGTCCCATGCTCTCGTGTTGCGTTGGTGTGCCGGACGAAATGATGATCGGCTCGTCTGATTGTGCAGATGCATTTGTCAGTGCGTGTGATGTCGCTGGAATGTTCACCGTGGATTGTTGACGGGCGGAGTCACGTTCCGCCGTGAGCGTCGCGATTTCGAGCGCCGAGTCTTCAAGTTGGCGCACGAGACGATCAAGCTGCTCCTGCGTCAATGTGGCGAGCGTGAAATTGGCCATGGCGGGGGTGTCGGGCGAGCTCAGCGAGAGCCTCGGTCGTGGCCGTGCGTGCTTACGAGAGAGCACTACGAGCGGCGGTGCTGTATCGCTGAGAGACGTCTACCCCCCCCAAAAAATGAGATAGTGGGGAAGCGAAAATGTGGGTGCGGTCCGAGAGGAGATCGTAGGCTCTGATTACCAAGTGTTACGAGTGCAATTGAGTAAATGAACGGGAATTGCACTATCGAAGCAAGAATACAATGAGCGAAGGCATGAGCGAAGAATATATAGCGAAACTATAGTGGTAACGGTAATGGACTGTGGTTGTCGCGTGACGGGCCCGGGACTGAGGTTTGGGAAAGTGTCGAAGCGGAGGCCCGGAGCGCGGGTTACCAGCCGAGCCGTGAGGTTGGGGTGCGATGTGCGAAAATGGCGGGCTGATTGTCGATGCGAGGGTCGCGAGTGGTAACGGTGCTGATTGTGGTGCTATAGTGATGTACGCGTTGAGCAGGGATGCGAAGTAAGGAAAAATGATTTTCCTTACAGGGCCAAAACCATCCTGGGCCAGATGTGTATTGCAAGTGCGTTTCTTATTGCAGAATTTTTTAAGGCTTCAAATTGTTCAGAAAATGCTCCAGAGATTGGGTGTCTCTTTTACATATTCACATCATTGAGGCAGAGCTTTTCGCTTTTTAGGTCTTGCAGTAGGATCTTGCCGATTTCCACCAGGAGATGCAGTGCCAGACTGTGGTGCGCCAGCAGCTCCATGTGTACCCACCCTTCCCCCAGTCCCTCCAGCAACACCACCCCCACCCCCTCCTGGTCTCTGCCCAGGGCTGTTGGGAGGTGGGCGACGGGCACCAGGCTTCCCACCACCCTGTTGAGAACCAGTGGGATTACGAGAGGATGACCCTGGTGCTAAGGGAGGTGTGCGGCCACCGTGCGCTGCTGCTTTTCCGGATCCGCCCGAACCTGCTGCTGCCGAACCAGATCCCGAGCCTGGCGTAGGAGGCTTGGTGTGAGGTACAGCCCCGGAAGAATGAGCAGCAGTGGGAAGGGGAGGCAACGGCGAGGCAGGAGGAAGGGGGGGCGTGGAGGCATGACGAGACGAGGCACCAACAGGGGTTCCTGGGGCAGCGGAGACAGCATTAGCCGTAGCAGTTGCACCATCATTAGTTGCTGTTGTACCTGCTGCAGTGCCAGAACTTCCAGCTGTACCACCTCTGGTAGCACCTGTACCAGCAGCAGTGGCAACACCTTGAGAAGGCGGACCCCCTGTGCTTGTCTCTGTGTCCGTCTCTCCTTCTCCTGCTGCTTGTAGCTGCCTCTGCTGATGCATCATCTTCAGCCGGTTATTCCGGTAATGCTGCCAGAAGTAGAACTGCTGTCCGTGGGCTAGCTCCTGAAGAGCACATGCAAAGGTAGGGGAGAAAACGAAATGACAAGAAAGCAGGTCTGGGGAGCACGAGGACGAGCAAGATACTAGAAGGAAGGAACACAACTGCACTACCAACCATATTGCACAAAAGGAGAGAACGGGATATATGCCATGCAGTGTGGAAGCACTCACGTTCCCTTCATTATCCATGCCACTAATGGCTAATGTAAAGAAACAAAACGAGTAAGGCTTTGAAACATACCTTGTTGGCAGGATGTGCCATGGCAGTGCGGAAGTGTTCACTTTGAAGCAGCTCAAGGAAGTAGAGACAGTGGGGATAACTGTTGGCCCGACCCCATTCCGTGCCCATGACACCCATGTCAACGCCATACATAGATATGTAGCAAGTTTCCATGCCATGAAACGACACCCATATCTCCCCACGCAATTACATTCCAGGCCATGCATCCCAAAGGTATGACGGAAGGAGGGAAGGAGGGAAGGAGGGAAGGAGGGAAGGAGGGAAGGAAGGAAGGAAGGAAGGAAGGAAGGAAGGAAGGAAGGAAGGAAGGAAGGAAGGAAGGAAGGAAGGAAGGAAGGAAGGAAGGAAGGAAGGAAGGGTGATGGTCACATCTTGAAAGAGTGTAGTGAACGCAATGGAGTGTGAAAAATCCACGCAATGGAAACGCACCAGATTGTCAAAGCAGGACCAAATTGTACAACTTACATGTGCACAGTGAACATACGGAATGCGCAAATGGGTTAGGAGCGTACACTATAAATGTTGAATACGGGGGGTTCCGCCAGTACTGCAGGTAGTGTATATAATTGACAAATGCTGGATCTTCAAAATGTTTATTCTGTGCTAGGTCTGAAAAAAGGATGGCGCGATATTTTAAGGGGCAGGACAAGGATGATAAGAGGGATGGGTGAATCTTATGTAAAAGAAATGCACAATATAACAGCAAACAGGCATGGAAGGGTTACGAGATGACAAAGAGTTGGAATAAGGTCGAATAGGATGGAATGGAATGGGATGGGCTGGAATTGGGTGGCTTGGGATGAGATGTGTTGGGGTTGGATGGGTTGGGGTGGGCAGGATGAGAGAAGATGGTTCAGTTGACTGGCTCGTAGCAAACGGACGAATAGCATGTGGAATCAACAAATCCAGTAGAGACTCCGACGAAAAGAGTAGAACACAAAACACAGGAGGCTCACAATAAACCAAAGCACGTGGTATGGCCGAGCGGGGTGAGGGGAGATTAGACGAGAGGGGAGATGGGAGAGGGGGGAGGGGAGAGGGGGGGAGGGGTAAGGGAAGATGGGGAGAGGGGGGAAGGTGGGGTAGAGGGAGGGAGGTGCTGGGCGGGGGGAGGCGGGGTGATGTGGGGAAAAATGGACATGACACCAGACACAACTTTTGAGGCGCCTCAAAAGGACTTATGAGGAGCCTCAAAAGGACCTTTGAGGCGTCTCAAAAGGCGGGGGGAGGCGGGCGGGGTGTTGTGGGTGGGGCAATATGGACATGACACCGGACACAACTTCTAAGGCGCCTCAAGAGGAACTTTGAGGCACCTCAAAAGGCGGGGGGAGGCAGCATGTCAAGGCATAGCACGGCATGCCATGGCATAGCACGGCATGCCATGGCATAGCACGGCATGGCATGGCATAGCACGGCATGGCATGGCATAGCACGGCATGGCATGGCATAGCACAGCATTTTTTAATGGCACAGCGTCTACAGAAACACTACCGCATGCCACCACATGCCATAAACCCGCAAGCAGAGCAACCGCGCCCCTTGAAACAATAAATTTTCTGCGATCGTGTGTTTGAAAAAGCCTGTCGGTGCGTTGGCGCTGCAAGTTGGCTTTTGAGTCGACCCAAAGGTCACTCCAGTTCTCCGATCATGGGCTTTCAAAAATCCTGGTGGTCCGTTGGAGCTGCAACATTTAACTTGCGAGCCCGCTTCCATAGCAATGCTGGACGTTGACCTCGGTCAACGCTCACGTCAACACGTGGCGTTGACTTTGGTCAACACCCTGATTGACCTTGTTTGACTCACAGTGAATGTAGTTCGGATTCGCCAGGCATTGAACGAATTCGAGCTCCACTAGAAACCGATGCCTGCCGCCGTCCGTCTCCTTCAAGATGTAATCCCCGCCGTCCATCTCGAACGTCTTCTCTAGGACGTGAAAGAACTTTGCAAACCCTAAATATGATTCCAGCAGTCCTGACGGAAGCGCATAATGTACACACGTTAATAGCGGATTGAAGATTCGACGTCGATTAGTAGCGAGGTTGGACAGTCGAATCGGCGAACCGCGCAATGCTACGGTGCAGGTTTAGGATCACTGGGCCAAGCAGTGGCGATAAGTTGGAAGCCTGAATTACTACTTCCAGGCCGATATCTATTTTTCAGGTGCATAAAAAACAAACTGTAACCCCATATCACCTCTTTGAATCTCGCGGCCACTCGAAGAATGTGCTGAAAACCGCTTGTCATCGCACCAAATATTTTTTGAATCCATACAGAGCTTATACCATCTTTTCTTGTAAAGAATGAGATTTTGAATTACTTTAGAGCCTTGAATATTGTGGAAATGGCTGACTGCAGGTCTGCATATTGCTTGTTTCAACACCATTATATGAATTTTTGGTGCACTTGTTATATGAAATTCTAAGCAGCATAGTCTATTCGCTTTCCCTAGCTTGTGTAACAGCGGAGAGTTGCAAAGTATTACGATTTTATATTGTCACCCATCTTTCTCTTTGTCGAAACTCCAGCTTCGACCTGACAAGCCTGATGGCACGAACGAAGTGTACCTTGAGTTGAGTCCGCGAAAATGCGTCGTGGCCACCTACACTCTTTCGGTTAGCAAGGCCCTGATCGGTAGCCCTAACTCCGAGTAAGCTTTGGTCACGTTGGCATGCTCGGGGGGGTACACCGACTCACACGTGCGTGCACGTGTCGGTGGGTGCTTCCCATCTCCGAGTGTTACTTTCCCAACTCCGGTTAGTGATCGGCTCGCCCCCATCACTCCGAGTTAGGAAGTTGCGAGGGTGGGGGGTGCGATTTCGTGTGTCTCACTGTAGCGTTCAGCCCAGACTGCCCCATACGCCACCAAACAAATAATATTTCAGCGCTGGGAATACCGTGGCCCAAAAATCTCATCTTCAAACACCACTTGTTCAAACACCTCCAACGCTCAATTCTTTCTTAGGCCCTGCTCCACGTCTTGCCCCCTAATACTGTGATCGTCACTACGATTTTTGACCGTGTACTTCGAGGTATTCCCGGCAAAAAAAAAACCCAATCGGGATCCCGATTGGGTTTACCCCTTGAAGCCTAACTCCGAGTAAGCCAGGAGTCCTCCGCCAAAATCGTGGAGTTGTGGGAGGCCTAACTCGGAGTAAACTTTGCCCGTGCTGGAAGCATTCAGGAGGGTTCGGTGGAGTCGTACTCTGAGTAATGCTAACTCCGATCGTTTGCCCATTTTTGCTAACTCCGAGTAAGCCACGTCGGTGTGACTATATGAGACACACGTGCCAAGGGGGAGTTAGTGAACCCCCACGAAGCCCATCAACTCGGAGTGAGAGGGCTACCGATCAGGGCCCAAGTGGTCCGACGTGTTCTTCGTGTTTCGCGCACGCCCGTGGTGTCCGCCGTGTGACGTTGGCGAACAGGTTTGGACCAACGTGCTCGGTGCGCGCCGCGGATGTTGAGCACCCTTGCGCGACTCGATAAGGTTATTGCATGTTCGACATTCTCGACTTTTCAACATCTCGACTGCAATTCCTGCTGAACAGTGATGGTGGTGGGCCGACAGTCATGCCTCAATGGTGCAGCCCCCCAGACTTCCCCTTGCCAAGACGAACTTTTGCACGTCATACAACGCACGCTGCTTCTACCACACCTCAATCTCTCCTACTTCTCACCATTTTGGTCTAGAGTCGATGCGCGCAATCATTCGTCGTGTAGGCCTTGAAGCCAGCTGGGAGAATACGGCCGACTCACGACGAGTCATTCATGACTGCCTGCATTTGTCCCACGCCCAGGCTGCTAGGATAGAGAAGCATAAGACGACGGTAGCACCTGCTCACCCACGCATTAAAAATATTAGCGCCCCCACCGAATGCCAGCTTTTCTCCGTGCAGGTCCTGAGGGCGGCGCGAGAAATGCAAGATAAATGAGAACGCAAAATGTTGGTTCGCGAAGAGTAATTAGAGTCGGCGAATATTCTTGCAGGTAAGCCGGTCAGGCTAGTAGGGGTAGACGCGTACTCAGTGTGTCCGATCCCACGAACCCTACTCTTTCTTCCAACTGAACCGTGCCATTTTGCGCCTTCCGAGTCCTTCGACCTTCAGCAAACATTCGCGCCCTCTTCTTGCGTATGCTCGTAACCGTCCCATAGTTTACTGAATCAAGTGAATAGTTTCAACGGGCAATAGCCATGCCAGTCATCTCTGCTACTCGAAGTTGACGCGCTAGCTGCTTCTGCTTATCCTCCTAGCTCCTGCACTGCTCGAACACTATTCACAACCTTAATACTGGAAGTCGACGCGCCAGCAGCTTCCGTTCTTCTTCCTAGCAACCGCACTGAGGATGCCATTGAGACGTCTCATTACTCAAAAGTTCGGCGCGCTAGCTGCTTCCGCTCCTCCTCCTAGCACCGGCACTGTAAGAATGCTTGTAAGAAGCCGTAGCTCATAGCCATCCAAAGGCAAGGGGCTCTCAACCTGTTAAAACCGCTCCGTTTTAACGCCGCACGCCGCACACGCCGCAATCAGTCCGGTGCTATTTCGACACGACTTGTACACTCGATGTGAGGGAAGAAGAGCGGGCTTTACATCAGAAAGCGCGCGGGCACGTGCGGGCGCGTCCGCGCGCGTGAGGGCGCGTGAGGAGCACGTTCTTCATAGCTGTCTAGCCGGCGCTTCGTTCTAAAGCGATTCACAACCAGTGTTTTGTTTCAAATCGCCTAAGAAACGCTAGTGCTCCGTCGTGCGACACCCACTATTCCCCTAATATACCATTATCTCCGCATTGATAGACGGGTACTGTTTTGCACGTCAAATCACCCTTCGACACGTGTCGTCGCGGGGTCACCATGGCGCAAGCTTCGTCTAGCTCGTTCTTCCATCTTGCGTCCACTCCGATACCGCCACGTATCGTTCTCTGCCTACTTTTGCTATCCTCCGCTGCCGGCGCCGTAGCCGGCCGGCACCGCGGTTTCGGTTCTCTAGTCAGCGAGAGCGGCGCGGCTTCGGTATTGCCGGCAACAGCGGCGGCGGCGACGGCGGAAGCTGCGGCGGCAGCGGCGGCAGCGCCGACACCCACGGCGACGGCGGAGAAACTGCTGCCATCCCGCGGGGTTTCCGCGGGAAGTCCGCGGGCCGTCGCGGGTTCAGCTGAGCACGGTTCGCCGGTGGAGGCGACAGCGGCAGCGGCAGCGGCGGCGGCGGCGGCGTCGGCGGCAGAGGAAGAAGTGCATCGCGCGCTGTCCCACGTGCCTGCGAAAGGCTTCGCCGTGTTTCGACAGCTGCTCGACGAGCGATACGGTTCGTACAAATCCCGCACTTTGCCCTTTCCCCCAAGTCCCCCCCCCCCCCCCCCCCTATTCTCCATCCCCCCTGCCTGCTTCCTCCCGCTTTTCCCCATACCCCCCCTGTTCCCCCTATTCCCGTCCCTCCTACCAACTTCCTCCCCCTATTCCCCGGGCTGCCCAACCGCACTGGGGGGCTTTGAGTTGATTCGGAAGTCGCTTCGGGGTCAAGGGGGTGGTCAGCAGCACTGCGCACACCAACGACTATCTAGTGCTCCTCGCTCCCTCCCGCACTCCCACTCCCCCACCCCCACACTCTCCCCACGGGACTTGGAGTCGACTCGCCTGTCGCTCCGGAGTCAAAGGGGTGGTCAGCAGCACTGCGCACACGAACTTTCTAATGCTCCTCGCTCTCTCCCGCACTCCCACTCCCCCACCCCCACACCCCCATGGGACTTAATGTCGACTCGCAAGTCGCTCCGGGGTCAAAGGGGTGGTCAGCAGCACTGCGCACAGCAACTACTATCGAGTGGTTCTGACACGTTTCGAAAGAGTTTTGAGACGTTTCAAAACTCAGCAGCACTGCGCGCACCAACTACCGAGTGTTCCAATGTTCCTTGCTCGCTCCCACTCTTCCCCCTCCCCCCTCTCCCCTCCTCCCCTCTCTCCCCACTCTTCCCTCTCTCCCCTCCCCGCCACACTTTTTCCCACAACATTGTCTGCGAGTGTCCCCAAAGCCCTCTCTTCCCTCCCCCGCCCCTCATTCCTTCCCCCTTTTTACCCCCCACCTCTTGCAGACGAGATTGCATCCGCATTAGTGGCGCCGCTACTAGCGGGGCAGCCAATCACGCTGCTCGTGCCGACCGACGGGTGTTTCCACCCTTCCGCGCAAGCCAAACTCGCTGCTACAGCTGCAACAGCTGCTACTGCTGCTACAGCTGATCACTCTACCAGCCGCCGTACATACACTCCATCGCGGGAGGGTCGTAGCCTATCAGAAGCGGCAAAGGACGAGCGGCCCATGGGGCACGAGGATGACGTGGACGATGAGGATAAGATCAGTGACGTGGCGGAAAGGGGTGACGTGGCGGGAACCAGAGAAGTGACGGATTTCCTGTCGGCGCATCTGATGGCGGGCGCGCATTGCCACGAGGCGATGAGAACGGCCAAGGGAAGCTGGAAGGTGAGAAACTGACTTGAAGGTTTCAGGATTGAGGGGGTATAGCTGGGGCTTTAACTGGGGCAACGACGGGCGCATCTGATGGCGGGCGCGGCGATGAGAACGGCTAAGGGTAGCTGGAAGGTGAGAGAATGAGGCGGGTTTGATGGGCTTTAAGTGGTAGAGAAGAGCGCACGTTGCCACGAGGCGATGAGAGCGGCCAAGGGGAGCTGGAAGGTGAGAAACTGACTTGAAGGTTTCAGGGTTGAAGGGGTATAGCTGGGGCTTTAACTGGGGCAGGGGCGGGCGCATCTGATGGCAGGCGCGATTGCCACGAGGGGCGATGAGAGCGGCCATGGGAAGCTGGAAGGTGAGAGAATGAGGTGGGATTATAACGGGTGGGCGAGAAAGAAGGGAAGCTGGAAGGTGAGAGAATGAGGTGGGATTATAACGGGTGGGCGAGAAAGAAGGGAAGCTGGAAGGTGAGAGAATGAGGTGGGATTATAACGGGTGGGCGAGAAAGAAGGGAAGCTGGAAGGTGAGAGAATGAGGTGGGATTATAACGGGTGGGCGAGAAAGAAGGGAAGCTGGAAGGTGAGAGAATGCGGTGGGATTATAACGGGTGGGCAAAAAGAAGGGAAGCTGGAAGGTGAGAGAATGGAGTGTGAGATACATATGCAAGTTGGGGAACAGGCAGGGATGGTTGGGCGGGTCTAATGGGATATGCGTTGCCATGCAAAGATGAGAATTGCTCAGGAAAGGTGGAAGGGCAAAGGTTTTGGAAGAGGCGTCATTTAGAAAGTTACATCTTCTCTTTCTGTTGTGTGCTGACCTTTGTTTCCTGCTGCAGGTGCCGACGCTGCATGGTGGTAACCATGTGACACGCACCACGCCTCCCAACGATCAAAGCCCTCTGGTGCTGATTCACAAGCAAGGGCGCATACATGACGATACGGATTCATATACGGATGTCAATGTGCATGTACACGTGCATGGGCACATGCGTGCTCACATGGAAGGAAAGCACAAGCAGCATCAATGGAAGCAAGATGGTATCGGCTTTACCCACAGCAGCAGCAGCAGCAGCAGCAGCAACGAGGCCATTCCACAGGTTGCTACTAACAGTGTTGCTGCTGCTCCAGCTGTTGCAACTGGTTCTGCTGATCTTGCTGCTGGTGATACTGCTGCTGCCAATGCTGCAACTGAGATGACCTTCTCGAGTGACATTTCACCTGGTCGACAAGCAACTGGTCGATTCGAGTGGAGTGTAGTTACTGTCCCTGATATTTACGTCAGCAAAGGGATCGTGCTACACGGGGTACAACATCAGTGACTGGCCACATACAGCTAACAAGCTGATACTTATAATAGGCACTAAGGAGAAATACTACAGATAAGGTAATGGCAATAATACGGTAGTAGAAGGTTCCCTGCTTAGTATGTTGTACTATTGATTGTATTATACCTTTACCAGCAGTTGTCATCATAGTACAGTTTCCTCTAGGGTCACTGTGTGCAGCTAAACATGTACACTCAGTCAGGCTCAGAATGGCCATCCTTAACTCCTTTGCCCCAACTAAGGAATCCTCGTTAGCTCTTTCAATTGATGCAACATCAGTTTCCGACAAATTTTTTTCTGATTGAAGCTACAACCAGGCCCTATGATATCAGGAATTTTACCCTGAAATTCCTGATTTTCAGGGTTTTTTTTTACCAACCCTGAAAATCCAGTGTTCAGCTTTTCCTAGGGCTGATTTTTCAGCCTTCACATGCCACATGACTCTGAACTTTCAGCAATTTTTTTGAAGTGACACTGATGCCTTTACGTTGTAACGAGTTTGACCCTGAAAGCGAATCCTACTAGGTACGAGTGTACTTGACCGGAAGTACTGGGAAAATCAGATTCCCGCGGTGTCAGCAGGGCCTGTCGTTGACTATCGGACAATTTTGCCCACACTGATGGCCCCTTAGTTGGCGCGCCTGGTCCGTTCATTGGCCACATTTGCAACATTAAGTGACTTGACCAATTACAAGGTTGCAGCACTGAGATGCTGGCAGGCTGCGCTGCGAGGGATTCTGGCGGTCTAGGTCGTGCTGGCAAGCACTGATGCATCCACGCCTCCCAGCCGTGCTACCTGCCATCCAGCCTCACATCCCGTTCTGCTGTTTGCTTCCTTCCTAGTGTTTTTACTACTAGTAAAATAAAGACTACCGTACTAGTATCAGCCTTTTTCTGTAGGGAAAACTGATGTATCAGACTTTTTTTTTAAGTAACACTGAACTTTCAGGCTTTTTTTTTAGGCGACCCTGACGATCAGGGTCTAGGGGCAGAGGGACCCTGATACCCTTACGTGCCTAAAAGTGAATCTGAGGGCCTGGCTACAACTCACTGAGAACTGTAGGCCAACAACACCAATCCCCAGTGGTTGGATCTCAAAACGATTTCCTTGGTTCTGTGATTTGCAACATATGGTACCGTATTCTCCCGGATAAAACACCCTAGGGTATTATGAAAACCACTGGGAAAAAATGGGGGGGGTCTCCTCAAATGAAAATCCTACATAATACCCGGGTCTTATTATATGGTATATTTTTTATCAAGTAGAAAAGATGTGAAACAAAATCAGGGGCCTGACTCCACTTCAAGATTGTTGACCAGTGCCGCAAAACCGAGTATATGAGGATAACGTGACCGCCCACTGGAATCTACCACGTGGCAAATTCGAGTGGGCAATTCTGGCACTTGATAGGGTGAAAACAAAGCCAATTGCGTGGCGAGGGTTCATGCTGTTGGGCTGAAAAGGTGTCAGAACATATAGCTTACTTGTTTGTGTAGGCTATAGTGGGGTATCCCATAGGGGGTACAACACATTAGGGTTTCCTATTTGTATTCACTTCACTTCATAGTCATTCATTCTCGTTCTTTGTTTTCACATGGAATCAGAGCAGGTTCCCTCCTAGGGACTGCTTCTAGGGCCCACCGAACCGCGCCCCGAGGCGCGTTTTTTTTTTTTTTAGCGACCCGTCGTGTCGCCCCTAGCGGCCTGTTGCGCCGCCCTTCCCCTAGCGGCTCCGCCGCCCTTCCCTAGCGGCCCCGCCGCTCTTCGATCGCGGCCCCGCCGCCCTCTGCTACGCGGCCCCACCGCCGCCCTTCGATCGCGGCCCCGCCGCCCTCGGCTACACTGCCCCGCCGCCCTCTGCCACGCGGCCCCGCCGCCCTCTGATACGCGGCCCCGCCGCCCTTCGATCGCGGCCCCGCCGCCCTCTACTACGCGGCCCCGCCGCCCTCTGCTACGCGGCCCCGCCGCCCTCTACTACGCGGCCCCGCCGCCCTCTGCTACGCGGCCCCGCCGCCCTCTGCTACGCGGCCCCGCCGCCCTTCGATCGCGGCCCCGCCGCCCTCTGCTACGCGGCCCCGCCGCCCTCTGCTACGCGGCCCCGCCGCCCTCTGCTACGCGGCCCCGCCGCCCTCTGCTACGCGGCCCCGCCGCCCTCTTCGGTCGCGGCCCCGCCGCCCTCTGCTACGCGGCCCCGCCGCCCTCTGCTACGCGGCCCCGCCGAGCCGCCCAGCCGCCGCCGAGCCGCCGCCGCCTGAGCCGCCGCCCGGGCCACCTGAGCCGCCGCCCGAGCAGCCGCTGAGCTGCGGCCGAGCCGCCGCCCGAGCAGCCCGAGCCGCCCGTGCCGCCCGAGCCGCCCGAGCCGCCCGAGCCGCCCGAGCCGCCCGAGCCTCCCGAGCCGCCCGAGCCGCCCGAGCCGCCCGAGCCGCCTGAGGAGCCGTGCTGCTGTTCCTGAGCTGTGTTCCTCTGCTGCTGACCTACCCGACTCTCCCAGCCCGGTGAGACTTTCAGCTGCTGCCATGGCCACCCCCAATGTTCTTACTTTTGACGCTGAGGGGAGGGCCATTGACTTTGCCGTCTGGATTGAAGACCTGCAGCTGTACTTACTGTGTGATGCGATAGATGAGGTCTCTCTCTTTGACTTTGTCTCTGGCGCTGTCCCTGCCCCACCTGCTGATGCTGACTCTGCCGTTCGCTCCAAGTGGGCGACCCGCGATGCTGCTGCACGTCTTGCTGTGCGTCGCCACCTCCCTTCCTCTGAGCGTGCCCACTTTAGTCAGTGCAAGACCGCTCAGGCCTTGTACGACGCTGTAGTTGCACGCTACTCCTCCCCTTCCTCCGCTACCCTTAGCCGCCTCATGCTACCGTTTCTCTTCCCTGACCTCGCTTCCTTTCCCACTGTCGCTGACCTCGTTACCCACCTCCGTGCTAGTGACACCCGCTACCGCGCTGCCCTTCCTGCTGAGTTCCGCGCTGCGAACCCTCCTCCCATGTACATCACTCTCTACTTTCTCGTCACCCGTCTCCCTGAGTCCCTTCGTGTCGTTAGGGACCAGTTTCTCTCTGTCTGTCCCACCACTCTCACTGTCGACCTCCTTGAGGAGTCCCTGCTAGCGGCTGAGAAGAGTATTGTCGCTGTAGGGGCCTCTCGGGGTGACCCTCGCACCCCCATCTTTGAGGGGTGTGGTCCTTCCCCCCTGCTGCCCTCTGTCGCCTCTGCCGCTGCGGCCGACCTCACTGGTTTTGAGTCGGTCGGCGCGGCGTCTGCCCCCAGCGGCAGACGCCGCTCTGGCAAGGGCAAAGGGGGCAAGGGAGCGGGTGGAGCTAGAGGGGGCGGTGGAGGAGGCGGTGGGGGTGGCGGGGGGAGTGGGGGTGGCAGTGGGGGTGGTGGCGGGAGTGGAGGTACTGGTGGCGGCGGTGGAGGCAGAGGTGGCGGCGGAGGTGGTAGCGGAGGAGGCGGTGGGAGCGGTGGGAGCGACGGTCCTGGTGGGGGAGGTGGAGGTGGAGACGGGGGTGGCGGTGGAGCGGGGGTGGCGGTGGAGGCGGGGGTCGGAGTGGCTCGTCCCAGCGGAGCAGCTCTGGGGGTGGTCAGCGCCAGCAGCAGCAGCAGCAGCAGCCGCAGCAGCAGCCACAGCAGTAGCAGCGCTCTCGCACCGTCCCCGCCCCTCAGCAGCTCCGTGAGTGGTACTCGCAGCGTCAGCGTGGTGGTGCGCTTGGTCCTTGCCCCTACGTTCTTCGCACCGGTGACCGTGCAGGGGAGAGGTGTGGAGGCGCCCACACAGCCCGCCGCTGCTTTGGCCGCCTGACTGACGCCTGGCGTCAGCAGTTTCCGGAGGCAGCTGAGATCCCCCGCTGGGGAGAGCTCTCTAGGGCTGGCGTAGCTATTTATGATCTTGATTTTGATGATATTCTCTCTGCTATGTATGCTGCGATTGGTAGTGATGAGGATGACTGTTACCGGTGTTTCCCGCCCGACCCGGGCATTGGTACTGCCGCGTCAGGTACTAGTGAGGCTGCTGCTCTAGGTGCCAGTGCGTCTGTGCTCTCAGGTGCTGGTGAGTCTGCCCTCTCTGGTACTGTGTCGGCTTCGGCCTCTCACACCTTCACCCTTGACTCTGGAGCGTCTCGCTCCTTCTTTAGGGACCGCACCACTCTCACGCCGCTGAGTCGGCCGGTTGCGGTGTCCCTGGCTGACCCCTCTGGGGGGCCTGTCCTGTCTCGCTTCTCCACTGTCCTCCCGTGTCCGGCGGCCCCCTCTGGTACCCTGACTGGTCTTTACCTCCCCTCGTTCTCGACGAACTTGGTGAGTGGTGCTGACCTCCAGGATGCGGGTGTCCACCAGTTCACCCCTGCTCGTCAGCGGGTGACCCACTGCACGGAGGCGGATACAGGTCGCCACCTGGCTACGTTTACACGTCGGCCAGGGTCGAGCCTGTACACACTGACCACTGCTTCTCCTCCAGGTGCTGAGTCTGGTAGGGTCCCTTCGTCTGGTCAGGTGTTTGCTGCAGCGTCCAGGTCTAGTCCTGAGTCTGACCCCTGCTCGTGCCGTCGTCTGTCTCACGAGACCCTCCTCTGGCACCACCGCCTTGGCCACCCCTCTCTGCTTCGGCTCAGAGGCATGGCCTCGCGAGTCCTTGTGTCTGGTCTTCCCCGGTCTCTCCCTCCCCTTCCTCCGGGCCCTGGCCCCACCTGTGTCCCCTGTGTCGAGGGGCGCCAGCGTGCTGCCCCTCACTCCTCCCAGTTTCCTCCGACAGAGGCCCCGTTGCAGACGCTTCACATGGACGTGTGGGGCCCAGCCCGCGTCCGTGGACAGGGTCAGGAGCGCTACTTCCTGCTGGTGGTTGACGACTACTCGCGTTACACCACAGTCTTCCCCTTGCGCAGCAAGGGTGAGGTCACTGAGGTGTTGTTCGACTGGATCCGCGCAGCTC